GAGGATCAAACCCTGGCCGCACGCATGCCAGGCGAGCGCGCTACCACTTGAGCCACATCCCCAGCCCGGTTATCTATGTTCTATTGCTAATAATAATACAGTAGCATAGTCTGTGCTGGGGTTGTGGCTCAGCAATAGAATGCTCACCTAGCATGTGCGAGGCCCTTGGTTCAATCCTCAATACCACATACAAATGAATAAAAATAAAGGTATTGTGACCAACTACAACTGAAAAATATTTTTAAAAATAATACAACACCACAGACTGAGTATATTATAAAAAAGAGGTTTATTTTAGCTCAACAGTTTAGTCCAAGTTTGAAGAGCCATATCCAGTGATGGCCTTCTTGCTGGCAGAGCTCCTGAATAGTGTAAGCATTATGGTGAGAGACAAGGAGTACTCATGAGACCTCACCAAACCAGCTTTTATAGCAGACTTACTGTTCAGATAACCCATTACCTATCAGTCACATGATTTTAAAGGTCCCACCTCTTAATATCTTATAATGGGAGTTATATTTCAACAGTTTTGGAAAGAAAGCAATTTCAGTTATAAAGTTAATTAGATGCAATTAACAATGGCATATTTCTGCTAGAACACTATTTAATGGATTTATGTCTGGAGAGGGTAGCTTTGGGAAATGATGTCTAAGATGACTAAAAATAGCTAAGTGAGGGGGGGAATTAAAGAAGGGAAAGCCCATCAAACCCTAGATTTCAGATTATAGACTGCGTTCAACAGCTTTATCAGCATGAACCTCTTTCTCCAAACTTGTCTCAAATATTCTGTCTGTAAAGGATTGTTTGGATCTCCAATAAGGGAATGTGTGGGAAATAACATGTTTCTGGGTCATCCTCATTGTCTGATATCCACTATCACTATTCCCTAGCACTAATTATTCTATCTTTCCCTAGGTCCCTGAAGAGTCCCTTGGAGACATTGTCAATCACTAACTGCCTGCTTTCAGAGTCAGATTTGACACATCTGTCCCAATGCCCCAACATCAGTCAGCTGAAGGATCTGGGTTTGAGTGGGGTCAATCTGACCTGTGTAAGTTTTGAGCCCCTCCAGGTTCTATTAGAGAGAACCTCCACCACTCTCCAGGATCTGGACTTAGATGAATGTGGGATCATGGACTCCCAGTTCACTGCTATCCTGCCTGCCTTGAGCCACTGCTCCCAGCTCACAACCTTCAGCTTCTGTGGGAATCCCATCTCCATGGCTGTGTTAGAGAACCTCCTGCTCCACACCATTGGGCTGAGCAAGTTAAGTCATGTAATGTATCCTGCCCCACTGGAGAGTTATGAAGATGTTGAGGGTACCCTCCACCTGGGGAGACTTGCCTACCTGCATGCCAAGCTGAAGCAAATGCTGCGCGATTTGGGGAGGCCAGGCATGGTCTGGTTCAGTGCCAACCCCTGTCCTCACTGTGGTGACAGGACCTTCTATGACCCAGAACCCATTCTGTGTCCCTGTTACATGCCTACTTAGATGAATGCATATATCCACAGCTTTATTTGGGGCACTTGGACACAAAAGCTCAGAAAGTAACCACATTTAGAAAAAAAGCCAGTTTTGTTTTCAGTTAAGTGGGAAAAAGGTGATGGGAGTGGGGGCAGATGTTTACTTAGAGTTTTTTGTATCTTTGGTGAGATGCATCTTATAAAGTTAGAAGTATGGATCTGAATTTCTAGAAGAGTTTGATTCAGGCTTGAGAGATACATGTGGGAGTTATCCCTGCATGGATAGCTGTAAAGAAATGGCCAGAAATAAAGAACCTCAATGCAAACCATTTGGTATACTGTGTGATATTTGAACCTGCTTTCCCTGTGGAGACCTCAAGAACAGCTACTGATGAAATGAGAAGGCACTAAGCATCCAAGATGCTTACCACACCTGGCTGAATGTTAAACCCCAAGGTCTCATGGCACCATTTATCATTCCTTCCATTTGGTTCTCTCTGGGGCATATTTTTCCTACTTATTTCTGTGGCTATTTTAGTGAGTGTGCCAGTACACACAAGTTGCATCTTGAGGGCCTAAAACAATGTACAGTAGTGAGTACCACTGAAATAAATTGTTATTTACATGAGCTGTCACTGCTAACTCAGGAGATCTTGTACTGTGACTTTTCACTGTTCTCTAGAGGATACATAAGCCTCAGTCTGACCTTTTGCTGTATACAGGGATTAAATGTACACAAGTTAGGCCCTCAATACTGAAAGGGAATGTCTATCCTTCATATGAACTGGAGTTGCCCCTTGAATTTAATTAGTGGCCAGTTAAAAATGTAAATTCACTTTAATAAAATACTTATTTAATATGTGTATCCATATTAAAAATTTATGACATTCAAGAGGCTGGAGTTGTGGCTTAGTGGTAGAGCTTTTGCCTGTCATGTGTGAGGCCCTGGGTTCAATGCTCATTACCACATGTAAATAATTTAAAAGATTCATTGACAACAAAATTTAAAAAGAATCCATGAGTCTTTATTGTTACTCCAAAACAGAGCAGTAGGGAAAGCTCTTATTCATCGAAGAATATCAGCTACAGAAAAATAGTATTAGGAAATCACCATTTTACAGTTACTGATGCAGTAATTGATTTAAAAAAGGTCATAAATAGATGTTAACACCTTTGAGAATGATAAAACTCAAGTGATTTCAATATATCCCACACATTACTTACCAAAGGGAAGTGGTTCCTTTGTTTCTGCAAAATTTGGCAGACTTCAATTTAACCAAAGAATCAAATTTTTTTTTCAAATCTTCATATATGTATTTTGTATAATGATAAGAGTCTCCTTTCACCATTCATGCTATTCCCCTTCTCCCTCCCTTTCCCTCCCACCCCTATTCCCTATCTAGAGGTAATCTTCCTCCCTTGCTCTCCCTCCCAACCCCATTTTGAGCCACCCCTATTATATCAGAGAAGACATTCGGCATTTGTTATTTTGGGATTGGCTAACTTCACTTCGAATAATCTGCTCTAATGTCATCCATTTCCCTGAAAATGCCATGATATTTTTTTATTGCTGAGTAATATTCCATTGTGTATAAATGCCACATTTTTTTTATCCATTCATCCACTGAAGGACATCTAGGTTGGCTCCACAGTTTAGCTATTGTGAATTGTGCTGCTATAAACATTGATGTGGCTGTGTCCCTGTAATATACTGTTTTTAAGTCCTTTGGGTATAGTCCAAGAAGAGGAATAGCTGGGTCAAATGGTGGTTCCATTCCCAGTTTTCCAAGGAATCTCCATACTGCTTTCCAATTTGGCTGCACCAATTTGCAGTCCCACCAGCAATGTATGAGTGTACCTTTTTCCCCCACATCCTCTCCAGCACTTGTTGTTTGTCTTCATAATGGCTGCCACTCTTACTGGAGTGAGATGGTATCTTAGAGTAGTTTTAATTTGCATTTCTCTGATTGCTAGAGATGATGAGCATTTTTTGTATCTTTACAATAAAATATTTTTTTAAAAAATTATGATAGCAGGGCTGGAGATTTGGCTCAATTGGTAGACTGCTTGCCTTGTATGCACAAGGCCCTGGGTTCAATCCCCAGTATCATAATATATATATATATATATATATATATATATATATAATCTTTAGATGTTCCTATCAATGACAGAATGACTTTCCACCACATAATAAACCTCCTTGGAACTAGTGAGATACTTTGGATCTGGGGTCTCAGTAGTGTAAACAAGCCCATGCTAGGTCCTGAGGAGCAGTGAGGTGGAAGCAGGTGAATGGAAGACATGGCAGTTGGGAGTAGGTTGGGCCACTCCACAGGACAATCCAAAAGTAAAGGACTGTAGGGTTGGACACTATAGTCATTGGGCATTTGTTTGGCTGACTGCCCAGGGAGCAAGAGGACTGCCTGCCTCCCAGCCACTGTCCCCACCACACCACTGCATTCTGCCCCTGGACTGGCATACCTTCTTTGTGACATAGCCTCCCAGGTAAGCACTTGAGGAGGCGGCCACACACCAAGAAAAAGGGCTAGGGCTCCCTTTGCATATTGCCCCGAGTATGAGCAAGCCCAATACTGTTTATTCTTCAGAAGCCTTGCTTGACCCTCAGGTGCATGCTGCTGTCATTACTGACAATCTTGTTACACAGCAGCTGGCCCTTCTTCATTCTCTTCCCATAGCAGTTACTCTTCCTTTTTTCTGTTACCCCTTCCAGCCTCCTATTCTAAATCCCATAAGAAAGAAATGGGCCCAGCATCTTGTGGAGCATACTTAGCCATTTCTAGAGAAAACATAACCAATGGTGTATCTTTTTTTTAATTATTATTAGTTGTTCAAAACATTACAAAGCTCTTGACATATCATATTTCATACATTTGATTCAAGCAGATTATGAACTCCCATTTTTACCCCGTATACATATTGCAGATTCACATTGGTTACACATCCACTTTTTTACATACTGCCATACTAGTGTCTGTTGTATTCTGCTGCCCTTCCTATCCTCTACTATCCCCTCTCCCCTCCCCTCCCCTCCCAATGGTATATCTTAAGAAGGGCTAAGAAAAGATGCTTTCTTCTTGCTTTTCCTCAGATATACCCTGCCTCAGCATCACTTGCCATAGACCCAAGTTAAAGAAAATATTTCCCAGAATGGGAAACCTACATCCAAGTACCAAATGGGTATAAAGAGCAAAGGATGAAGAGCAAAGGAAAGGCATTGAATTACTCCAGCTTTGGGATCATTTACTGAAAGAGCTGGTAATATCTGCGTCCTATGATTATCATGATATCCTTTGGGGCTAATTTATGCAAAGCATGTGTCAGAGCACTCAGACATCATGGATGACCCAACACAGGCCATTGATTATTAGCTTCCTGATGCAAGTAGAGAAAGAAAAACAGATGCTGTGTGTCTTTGCTCATTCTTACTGTTATAATGAAATGCTGAAGACTGGGTCATTTATAAACAATGGAAATTTATTTCTCAAAATTTTGAAGGCTGAGAAGTCTAAGATCAAGGCATTGGTAGATTTGGTGTCTTGTAAGGGCATTCTCTCTGCTTCAAAGACAGTATCTTGTTGCTGCATCTTCTGGAGAAGATAAACACTGTCCTCATAGTGGAAGAGCAGAAGGGGTGGAAGGGCCTAGGGTGCTTCCCTCAATTTCTTTTATAAAAAGCACTAATCCCATTCATAAGAGCAGCATACTTATGACTTAGTCACTTCTCCTCAGATTCAACTCATTGAATTCAGATAACTCATTGTATTAGCCAGGCAGGGTGGTGCACACCTGTAATACCAGCAACTTGCAAGACCCTGTATCAAAATAAAAAGTGCTGGGGATGTAGCACTTCACTACTGAGCTACATCCCCAGTCCTAGTGAGATAGCCCAGATTCTTTTTCTGATGTGAAGTTGTTAGAGGCAAATTTTCATCATCTGTCCAATTTTATATCTAATTGACAATCTTGTATCTTGAACCCTGAAACTTAAAAAGATAAATTGGATGAGCAAAGAGAGGCTTAACAGAATTAGCTGAATTTTGATTCAGATATATCCACTATATCAGAGAGAACATAAGTTTGAGGAATCAACCCAGGAGTCCTCACAAGAGATTGCTGATTCAGGCAACTAAGTGAGCTTTATTATCCCCAAAATAATTTCACCTCTTATTTATCCGTTTTTTCCTTTAGATCTCCTCAAAATAACTTGACCATTTATATATTGAAGAGTGCTTCATAGCTGGATTACATTCAGGAAGAAGAGGAAAAGTTTACCTTATATTTAGATAAGTAAAATTTGATGTAAGAGTCAGAACCTTAGCAGGTCAGAGAAAAAGTGATTGCTCACAGAACTTTTGTTGGAAATTTTCTTCAGTGAATTTCTCCTAATCCCAAGAAATTTGAAACTGAAACCTGGTTCCTTGGAAGTGTATTAAAGGAAAATCAAGACTCTGGGAATATTGTGTATTATGGTTTGGATATGAGGTGTTCCCCAGAAGCTCACGAGTCAGACAAAGCAAGAAGGAACGTTCAGAGGAGAAATGATTGTGTTGCGAGAGTCTTAACTTTCTCAGTGGATTGATCCCTGATGGGATTAACTGAGTGGTAACTGGAAACAGTGAAGTATGGCTGGAGGAAGTGGCTAATTGGGGATGTAGCTATGTGGTATACATTTTGTATCTCGAGAGAGAGGAGTCACCCTCTCTCTCTGCTTTCAGATCACCGTGTGAGCTGTTTCCCTCTGCCACACCCTTCATCCTAATGCCCTGCCTCACCTGGAGCCCTGAGGAATGGAGCCAGCCTTCTGTGGACTAAGACCTCTGAAACCATGAGACTTCAAATAAACTGTCCTTCCTCTACAATTGTGCCAGTCAGGTCTTTCAATCGCAGCATCAAAAAAGCTGACTAAAACACTGTTCAAGAGCTGGTGTATTAGTCCATTTTCTGTTGCTAATAAATACTCCAGACTGGTACTCCAGAAAAGAGGTTTCTTTATTTGCCTTACTGTTCTGGCCCAAGGTTGAGAAGCCACATCTGGTGATGGCCTTCTTGGTAACAGATTCCCAAGGAAGCACAGGACACCACATGGGAAGAGACAGGAAACATGCATGTGTACCCTCTGGTCTCTCTGCCTCTTCTTATAAAGTCACCAGTATTAAATCATGAGGGCTCCACCTGTTGAACTTATATAATTCTAATCACCTGCCCCCAAATCCACCTCTAAACACCATAATCAGATTAAGTTTCTACCCTCTTAATACATCACAATGATGATTAAAACACATCAGTTAGAGAGGGAACACAA